CCTTCCCTTCCCACTGGGGGCTTCACTGTAATACATACAACTTTACACTCACAAGATAAATGCCTTGTTATTCAGTCAATTCAGTAGTGCTGGACTCTTCGTAACCCTATTTGGGGTTTTCTTGGCAAAGATACTGGAGTGGTTTGCCATTTCCTTCTCCAGCTCATTTTACACATGGAGAAACTGAGGCAAACGGGTTTAAGTGACTTGCCCAGGATCACACAGCGGTGTCTGAGGTCAGATTTGAACTCAAGAAGATGATGAGTCTTCCTGACTCCAGGTCCTGAACTCTCTTCACCTTGCCATCTATCTGCCTTGATAAACACCTAAGGGACAAAAATAGTGGAATTTTCCAGCATAAAAACATGTATTAAAACAAAAAAAGTAAAGTTTAAAATGTCCCTAGAAGGCAGCATTTCTTGCTTAATAGCTTATACTCACATAAATTTAAAGCATTTTCCTCCCAACTCTATGAAGAAGGTAATACAGATATCACCATCCCTATTATATTATACTATCATACCCATAGGTAATAAAATTACAGCACAGAAAGGTCATAGATCACAGATATAGAGCTGGAAGTGACCTAAGAGGCATCTTGTTTAACAACCTTATTTTGTAGATAAGGAAACTTAACTGCCATGTAAAGTAACTTGCCCAGGGTCTCACAGCTAGCACATTTGAGGAAGAATGTGAACCCAGATCTTTCTAACCATGACCTATCCACTATGCCACGCTGCCTCCTGCAAGTTATTTGCCCATGACTGCAGAGCTACTTTAGTGTCACAGGCAGAATTTGAGCCCAGGATTCTCAACTCATATCTAACTCCCACTTTTCTCTAAACCACACTTGGTCACCTACACCTAGTTGCAGTCCTTCCTGTAAGAAATCATAGGATCATAAATTCAGAGCTAGAAGGGATCTTTGAAGTAGTTGAATCCAAATATCTCTTTTTACAGTTAAGGGAACTGAGGCCCAAAGCAGTTAAATGACTTGTCTAGGGTCATAGAGATAGCAATTGCCAGAAGCAAGATTCAAATCCAGGTCTTCCTAACTCCAAGTCCAGTGCTCAATCCAAAGCAAAAGCAAAAACACACCTAATTAAAAAGAGGTAATCAAGTGAAACTACATTTTGCTAAAAGGTACCATAGACAATGAAGTAAAAAAAATTTACATCAAGTTTCTCAGACAAAGACCTCATTTTTCATATATATAGGGAACTGAGCCAAATTTATAAAAATAAGAGCCATTCCCCAATTGATAAATGGACACAGGATGTGAAGTTTTCAGAAGTAATCAAAGCTATCTATAGTCATATAAAAAATTCTCTAAATCACTATTGATTAGAGAAATACACATTAAAACTACTCTTAGGTACCACCTCACACCTATCAGATTTGGCTAATATGACAGAAAAGGAAAATGACAAATGCTGGAGGGGATGTGGAAAAATAGGTACACTACTACACTGCTAGTGGAGTTGTGAACTGGTCTGATCATTCTGGAGAACAATTTGGAATCATGACCAAAGGGCTATAAAACTACGTATACCCTTTGACCCAGCAATATCACTACTAGGTCTATTCCTCAAAGAGATCAAAGAAAAAGGAAAAGCATCTACATGTACAAAAATTTTCATAGCAGCTCTTTTTATGATGACAAAGAATTGGAAATTAAGGGGATGTTCATCATTTGCGGAATAGTTGAACAAGTTATGGTATATGATTGTGATAGAATAAACTAACAAGCAGGATGGTTTCAGAAGAAAAAAAACCCAGGAAGATCTATATAAACTGATGAAGAGTGAAGTGAGCAGAACCAGGAGATCATTGTGCACAATAACAGCAATGTTGTAATGATGATCAACTGTGAAAGACTTAGTTACTTTGACCAATAAAATGTTCCAAGACAATTCTACAGGACTCATGGCTAAAAAAAAATGCTAACCATTTCTAAAGAGATGATGAACTCCGAGTGCAAATTGAACCATATATATGTGTATATGTATACTTTACCTTTTTTTCCCCAAACATGGTTAATATGGAAATGTTTTGCAAGACTTCACATGTACAATAAATATCAAATTGCTTGGCTTCTCAACGGGCAGGGGTGAGACTGGAGGGAGGGAGACAATTTAGAACTAAAATTAAAGAGGGTTGTCAAACAAGGCTATCTCATTATATATTTCAGAGTCCTAGATGGTTTTGATATATGCACAGGAATTACCTAGTTGGAAAAGGACTGTTTTGCTCTAATCATTATTTTTTAAAAAATTATTAACAAACAAAAAGGTTTCAGGTAGGATTTATATAAATCTCATATCAGGTTACTATAGAAGCTGGGGAGATAGAGAATTCCTCTAACCTGTGAGAGGAACCATAACTATCTCAAATAATCTCTCCCTTCTCTCCAAAGGCAAGATTCTGGAAAAGTATGGCACTGAGAATTATTCATATGTAGTATTTATAGCATAATACTTGCTAGATTTCCCCTCCCTCAAACACATACCTCTGCCATTCTTTAACCTTAGGGGTTAACAAAACACTTAACAGTGCATTAACTCATCTGACCAGAACAAGTCCTGTGAAGTAGATACAAGCATTATTACTCCAATTTTGTTATTGTTCAGTCATGTCCCAACTCTTCGTGACCCCATTTGGGGTTTTCTTGGCAAAGATACTGGAGTAGCTTGCCATTTCCTTCTCCAGTTCATTTTACAGATGAGGAAACTGAAGCAAACAGGGCTAAATGACCTGCCCAGGGTCACGTGTCTGAGGCCAGATTTGAACTCAAAAACACGAGTCTTCCTGACTCTAGACCTAGCACTCTACCCACTGTGCCGCCTAACTGCCTCTATTCCAATTTTACCAGTGAGGAAACAGGTTGAGAGGTAATGCTCAAGATCAGACATCAAATAAATGTTGGAGGTGGAACTTGAACCCAGGCCTCTTCTATGTCAATAGCTTTTTCCACTTACCACCCACAAATGTTGCCTCTTAGCTAACAAATTCACACATTATCCTCCCACACCAAGTCTTATCCAGGAAGAAAAGGTCTGGTGGAATATTCATCCCTGGATTCCTTCCCCCCATTTTAATAAGTCCCTTAGGTTCCAAAGACCAAAGGCTCTTTGCTTCTTTCTTCCAGGGAACTAAGTTTCCTCAGCTGAGGAAGGGAAATAAGTCAAAGGAAACTGGAGGATAAGGACCCCAAACAGAAAGTCTGCAAAGTCTAGCAGAAAGAAAACTGGGCTGGTAACAAGATTTGAGTGTTAGTCTCAAACCCACCACTTATTGAAAGAATTTCCTTGGACAAGTCACTGCCTCTCTCTAGGTCTTATTTTTCACATTTGTAAAATGAGGTGATTGGACTGGATGATTTCTATTCAGCTGTAACTGTGAAATTATTTTAGCAAAGGGACTGCTGGACATAATATTTCTCCTGTGGAAAGAAAGCTTTCAGTTATCTTTGCAAGAGTCCTGTGCTGCTCAGGGCTCAGACTCCATGATCATTTTTTAGTTCAGAACTGTAATTTTCTGTTAGTACAGAGAGGCAGCATGGATGGAATAGTGGATGACCTTGGTTCAAGTCTCACTCCAAATACTGTGCGACTCTGGGCAAGTCAAAACCCCTCAGTGACCCAGGAAGCTGTAAATTGCAGAGAAGGAGCAAATCTACACTGGTAGAGGAAGTTCTTCACCATATCCTGCACTATTATAGGTCCAGTCTCTATCACGTTGGTACTCCCTGATAGATGCCAATCTCATAATTTTATTTGAGGAAACTTCCCTGCTCATCTTCACTCTCCCTCACTTTTACTCTCATCTTCCTTTGCCCCTTTAAATCTAGAATTGGAAAGGATTTTGGACATAGCTCGGTCTATGGCTATTAAGTGATTTGCTCAAGCTGAGGATCTGTAGATCCTGTAAAAGTCAGGATCTGCACCCTGGTCATTTGACTGTAGAGCCAGTGCTTTTTCCACTACACCATTATGCCTTTATTAGTCAGGTTATAATTATCTAAAAATAGTTCATTAATGAAAAATGTTTACTCCCTTCTAAGATCATCCCTCTTTCAGTCTGTTTTGCCACTACTAGTCCACAGAGGGCAAATGCATTTTTATATTAGCTTCTTTAAACATAAGACAAAAAGCAACTCCACAGTAAAAAGTGATAGAATAAATTCCAAAACTAAAACCAAATTATTTTTTGATTATCCATCCCTACATTAGCAAGAAGTTCAACTGCATGTGCAATTTACAGAATACTGAAAGATTAAATTCAAACATTAATCAATATGTAAGGCACTATACAAAGTGCTGTGGGTATGAAGAATTTCCCCCCCCAAAAAATGACAGGGCCTGCCCTCAAGGAGCTTACATTCTGTTACGCTATATCTAACAGTCAGAAGAGAAAATCTTTCTCTCTGGTACATGCTTTGGACTTTACCCAAAATTTGTTGAATGGAAATGGATCCACTTGATCATTAATGTATTGGGGTGGGGAAATCTAGGACTAGTCTTAAATACAAGGTGTGGCTTACTTTAGGGAAATTCAATATTTAAAAAAATTCAGAACTATTAATTTTTGTGAGGGGTGAACGCAAATTTGTCACATTAAGAGGATTGACTATAGGTTTCCTTTTAAATAGCAAGTCCCTAGTGCACTTAAAATATGATTCAATTTAAAATAAACTTCTAAGAAAATAAATATTATATAAAATGAGGTATAGCTACATTGTATTGTAACTCTCTTACAAGAGTTCAGTCCCGAGCAAATGAAATCCAGTTTTAATCTGATAACCCAAAGAGTCTTCAAAAGAAGGTAGATCTTCAAGACATATTTTAAGGTACATTCATGATGAAGGAGAATGAATTTCAGAATTTAGGATGGCTGCTGGCCCAAAAGGGTGTTTGGAAGAGAGGTTTGAAACAAGAATAAAAATTGTGTACTCATTATTGAAGCTGATTTCACTTTTTAAAATAGCAATAACAACTCTCTAAAATGTCAGATTTCTTTATTTCAAAAATGTATACAGTAGAGCCAGCCAATTCAATACAAAATGGGCCTTTTCTGTGTTGAGAGAAATAACATCAATACTTTATCCATTGGCTTTTCATCAAAATCCTTCCATTAAAAAATAAATAATCATTTAAATTAATGAAACATATTTATTAGCTTTCAACAACTTTTTATGCTATCTCTAGACTTAGAAAATACACCTTAGCAATTTAAAAAAATACAAATATCAATTTCAAACATGAGCATCATCTGTAGCATACCATTTGTAGTTTAAAATGAATTGAGAAAATATTTTTGGTTCTCTTGGCACAGTAACTCCTCCCATCACAGACACTGGAGAAAAGAAATAATTTGGCTCCCTGGTCCCCTCCCTAAATGTGAATTTCACATTTATTGGTCTGTGGTGAAACTTTTTTGTCATCACCTCTCAAAAGGACACAAAACTATCCCACAAACCGCTGTAACTTTACAATATGATGCTATGAAATTTAAATGCTCACTTCGAATTCTAAGGGCTTTTAGCAAAGTAACTTTTAAAAAGCCCTATTATTGGGTGGCAATAATAATTAAGATCATTTAAAAGGAAGCTACTTTAAGGAAAGGGAATTTAAAGCATGAACCAGAAAACAATTTTTGGACTAAGAATATTTGACTTTGTACATTTTATATTTACCCATTTCTTCCCTCTCCAAACTTAATACTTGACCCTTACATACTCCAACAATTTGGAACCTCCCATTATGGAACCGAGAAACATAAAGCTTGGAAGACCCAATCTGATAAGCAATAGAAATAAATCAAGATCACTCAAAGCCTGTCCTCCAATGACAGAGGAATGGATGAAATTCATATTATACCCTCTAATAAGAGAACTGGAGTTCTTTAGCTTCTTGCTTTCTTTTTCAAACAAATCTTTATAATCTAGTAATAAACAAAACCATAAAGCAAAAGTTGGTAATATTTGTGCAAAGAAATGTCTTGTTGAAGTTTTTCTTTTTTACTAAAACTGTCCACTGCCCTGAAGTTTTAACAATGAAATCAACATAAAAATGGTCTTGTAAACACCAAAAGGCTGTCCTTTGGCCAGTTATCTTATAAAAAAAAAATAACAAAAGCAGAAGAAAAAAGCACTGCCTTCCAAAAGCACTCAAAAAAATCCATACAAACATGTCTCCAGATAAAGCTTTTGTGACAAATCAAAAGATACAAAGGTCTTCTAAACCACTCCAGAAATTTTCCTTTGGGTATCCGTTCCACACTTCACAGAAAACATTAGTTTTCCCCAAGAATGCCACTCTGCCTTCAAAATCCTAATGCTATATTCCTGTTAAAAATAAAATACCAAAAACAGGCAGAATTTTGGCAAAGGTGGAGATGGGGATATCATGAAATCAGATATTAAAGTGTAGTTTAATTTGTGATATAGTTTGATTTCAAAAGGGATAAAAAACTTAAAACTTTTAAATACACAAGGATTTGAATAACTACTATATTTATGCAACCTCAGAACTGAAAGGGACCTTATAGATCTTGTAGTCCATCTTCTTTCCCCATTATTTTTCAACACCCTATATATAACTTCTGAAAGTATTATTCTTTTGAAATTATTTTCCTCTGACTCAACATTAGAAAAGGATAGGTGCTGACAGAAAAAATCCCTGTGAGGCTAGGGAATCACTAGTTTTTAATTTCATAATCCCAAAGTCTCTGCCTCAATGGTTTTCTTCCTTTTTTCTCTCTTCCACTATCACCAGTCCAATCCTAAACTTTAAGAAATCCCTACTGGTCTAACTGACCCTCCTTTGCTACTAGCAAGCTTTCCTTCCCTTAATCCAAGTGAGAAAAAGGTGGTTAGGAATAATTATTATCAAATTAAGAGAAAAAGGTAACGCTTAAAAGTGATACAAGACAACGCAGTCATGTTTCTAGTGACTTAGAGATGGTCTTCCAGTTTTACATCTAGACTCTAATTTCTATTCCTTATCCATCTCTGTTGGAGGTCACCAGCCTAGTATACTCCCTAAACATATACAAGGCTGCTTCTCTCCTTTGAGGTGAAATTCAGTCCATTTACTATGATCACCTCAGCCTAACATAGGCCCTAACATAGTCCACAGGCTCTAAATGGCTACACCAGTTAAGAATCTTGGAATCCAGTCCTTAGTACAGTTTTATCTTTAGCGTTCAGAACAGACTGGCTGTCTTTTTGAGCCACAGAACTGGGTTTCCTCTTGAATGCCCTTCAAGTTTCAGTAGTAGAGGGTGTCCTGTAAGAATGATCTGCTCTCTCCTGGTCTATTTAAAGGGCAGCAAAGATTGGCAGCCAATAAGATCCAATGAACATATCTCACCTTTCCAAACCTAACTACTAGCTCCACTTTCACTATGTTCTCAAAGTAACGAATAATATTAAAATGATTGCTTCTTGGCCTTTTGGCCAAGATCGATAATATTCAAATGAGTTCCCACTCTTTCCCACTACAGGAGTAGTCCTTTTCTAGAAGTCCATATATTGTGCTGCAATATTCCAGCACTTTACATACACAATGATAAATCAGGAAATTTCCACCCAAAATAAGAGAAAGGTCATTTCATCACAGTGCTTAAAAAGATGTTAGAGAATAAGAGCAACATCTAATAAAAGCTAATTTAATAATTTAATGCTGGCATAAACTTAAGTAGATTTTTTATTTAATTATTAAAAGATGGATATGGCAACTTGCCTGGTTTCCATCTCCTTGGCAAAGATCTGGTCTTCTAACTTCTATTTTAAAGCACACTTCTGTCAAGTCTCCTGGCTCTACCCTGACTCTGTAACAGAAACACCGCAATGGTCCAAATCACAGTGACACTGTAATAATAACTCTTTATTCCATTAACATTATTACTGAACATGAGCAGAATCCAGGCAAGACTCGAATCCACTCACACAAAGAGGACAATCACAGGATGGAGAGACCTTAAAAGCATTCACTTGCTCACATATTTCTTATGAACAGGTTGGGAAAAAAAAACCCACTCAGAGTCATGTCTTTAAAGATCTATTTCTCCTGACCCAAATAATTTAACCTCAAAGAATGAAGAAATAGTTTTGTTTTTTCACCAAACTAATTTGTTAGGTGTGTATTTACTTGAAATTCATTAAATGAAAAAATCACCACCAACTCAGATAACTTACAGACAGAACTGCTATCAGCAACCTTCAAAGCATAGAAATAACTGAGAGCTTTTCTTCTGCTTCCCCAAGAATCACTGGCTCTGAGGAAACACCGATATAAACATGATCTTGTTTGTTTTTCAGGTTTTCTGCTCTATCTCTAGTGACAGTTCCCTCTAGTTCATGTGGGAACAGCCCAGGGGGCAAAAACCACAAAGTATAATCAGATTACCCAAAACTTCGAGGAAATGTCATCTTAGAAGGTGATTTTCAGCATCCAGAAAGATGAACATCTACCCTGAAAGCCTTCTCCTTCCAAGATGCAGCCTGTACCATAAAATGGACCAAAAATGCTTGACTGTTACCACTGAAAATATCAATATGTGCTTCTCCAAATATAAAAACAGTTTTGGCAAATGAGCAACAAAGAGACATACTGTTTAGAAAATTTAGGATGTAAAACCTTAATGGGAAATATTTTTAATATATGGGATAGCATTAATTTTTTTTCTTTTTAAAATGTGGAAGAGTGAATAAAGAAGAATAGTTCTTTATGCTATAGATCCATAAAAGATGCAAATATTCAATGCTATGAAATATACAAGTAATGCCATGGAAAGGCCCAATACTTTTTCTTTGCATGACAGGACATTCATATAATGGGTGATTGAATACAGAACGAGGAAAATGTAGTTTGAAACCCAATTCTACTATGGCATAAAATCCCTGATCATAAATATTAAAGCTGCATCTGGTGCTGACAATTTGCCATTTACAAAGAAACTTTGTCTCTGATTTATCAACAATAATAATTTTTAAAAAATGTTTTATACTGGTGAGCGATAATACTTTACTTTCCACCATTTGGACCTCATTCGGGAGAAAAAATACATTATCATTAAAAAGACGGATGATGCAACATATAGTAGAACACACAGGCTCATGTCAATGTTGGAAAAGCCAGTCCCTAAGAAAGACCCAGACTGTTTGGCCTCTATATGAATCTTAGATTCATATGGATGTTCAATTTTATCTCTGTCAGGTCTATTATTTAATTTATCTAAAATATGAGATTCGGGGTCCAAAACATTTGGCAGATCCAGGTTCAGCTCTTGTTTTCCATTTGGATTCTTCAGGATAACATTTACTTTTGACTCCTGTTTGGTCTCTAATATGATTTCATTAGGCTCATCCTGGTCTTCAGCATACTTATTTAAGATATTTTTGGTGCCATAATGATGCTTTAAGAATGTTAGAACTTGTACTTCATTCCAGCTGTCCAGGCCCTTAATTTCCTCATGGCAGCCTGGGCAGAGTTCTGGTGTTGGCCACTGAACCTTTGGAAATTTGGGATCTTCACTTGGCTGGCCTACAGGAAGAGAAAAAGGAACAAAAAATGTACAGAAATCATCAAATCAAGTCTATCTTTTTTTTTTAACCAGGAGTAAATCAAGTAGCATTTTAAAAACAAGTGCTAGATACAAGCCTGTACGATGTGTCACACATAAAAGGTGCTCAATAAAAAATTATTAAAACGCTGATTATTTGCAGCTAAATTACAAAGTATGTTTTCATTAGATATTTTTATTAGTTCAGTGATTCTCTGCCCCTTTCTTTGCAATTTATTGCTGCTTCTTTAATCTCATGGACATTCTGACACATTTCATCACAATGCTGATGGACAGAGATTTATTTTTTAGAAAGTAAGTTACAGTTATTTTTTCCCTGAGAACTTTTCAGTACTCTTTGAAATCAGTGAAGACAATCCCCAAGTATTGAAAAAACATTCAGGAATAATTGTTAGAGTCATAGGGACAGCTTCTTTAAACTGCTGCTGACAGTGAACAAAACAGTATTACATATGTAAATTGTAACTAATGCTACATATCCTGATCCAGGTATTAAGTGCAAACAGAAACCAATTTTCTTTAGTGCTTTACTTATGTTTTTTGTAATACAATGGATTAAATAAAAGCCAGTATTTTAGTGTTGTTTTCCATCCATCTTCTATGAAGATTTATTTGCCAGTGGAATTATTTTAAGCCTAATTTTAATCACATATTGATTTAGAAGTAGTTTAAATGTTAACTTCAAGAATATGCATCCTGTTTGTTCAATTAGTAATACTTTCTGAATACCACTGCTTTAATGGGCTCTATGTATGAAAGAAAACTTTAATATGATCTTTGAAAATTATTCATGTTAAATCAGCTTCATATTTGCTCAGAGATATACTTGGCTACTGGAAAAGACATCTATCTACCAGGGGACCTACATTCTTACTTAGTTTTGGACAAGGTTAGTGATGCATCTCTGATGAATATACTCCAAAGTTGCTTCTGCCTAAAGTTAGCACTGCTGCTGTTGTCTGGGGGCAATTCAGACATGGTACCAAGCAGAGAACCAAGCTTACATTTCTAAGAACAATACTTGGTTTGGCCAGAAATGGAAAACCTCTCTTCTAGAAGCTTACACTAAAGATGTCTTATTCCATATCTTAGTATGAATAAAGTTTGCCTTATTGTGCTATCCCTTCTACATGAGGAGGGATACCAGAACCCCATTGTCAGCAGAATGTAAATTTTAACCCAGATTCCTATTAGTGGGGATGAACTACCTTGGCTTAACAATACTCTCCCACATGGTCTCCTTTTGTGACCAAGGACTTGTATTTAGGAGAAGGCTTGATGGGATTAAAAGTGGTACCCTAGGGTTTCAGAATAGAAACTTTCCTGCCAGGGAGCCAAGTGGCCATATGGGATCTAAAATTGCAAACCTAGTTTCATTAGATTCGTATCAAATGATCCTACGATTTCTAACTTTTTCACTAAATGACAAGACTGAAGGGCTCTCAGTCTAATAAAATTCATTTAAAATAATTCTTCTCTGGATACATTCAACTTGTGCATATTTAAAGGATCATACAATTTCAGAGTTGGAATAGACCTTAGAGATTATCTAGAATTTAATCTCTCATTTGGCAGATGAAGAAAGGAATGCCCAAAGAGAAGTGACTTACCCAAGTTCCCATACTCAATTAGTGGTGCAGCCAGGACAAAAACCCAGCTCTCCTGACTCCCAGTATAGGCCATTTTTATCTGCCCCAAAACAATTGGTCTGAGAAGCTTAAGTCATCCTATTTTTTATGCTTCTCAGTTTGTTGATGCAAATTTATTCCCTGGAGGCTCTACCAGTAAAATAATGTGGGATTGGGAGCCAAGATGGCAGAATAGCAGAGGAGGCTGTGAATCATGGCAAGAAAGGGTCCGGCAACCTCAGACTCATACCAGGGTCCCATGAGACAACAAAACAGAAGAAAATATAATGTATCTCATAACAAAAACAACTAGAAAACTGATCAGGGAGAAAAAATTTAAGGATTATGGGACTACTCAATATGGGTATATTGGATATTGGATATACCCAATAATACTGGATACACCCAATATAACTGAACTCAAAGTTCAATATAATATTGGATACACCCAATATCGTGACCAAAACCTAGCCATTTTATCTCAAGAAATATTAAAAGGAAGCATCCAGATCTCTTACAGAAGTGGAGAATCTACAGTCTCGAGGCCACAGGTTCCCTACCCATTAGAGAAGGAATCTATCAGAATCTATCTCCTGAAACTCCAAAATGAAAAATCTCAGGAACATAATAGCCAGAATCCAGAGCTTCCAGGTAAAAAGAAAAAATTCTACTAACAGAAAGAATTCAAATATTGGGTAGTCACATTCAGGATCACACATGATTTAGCAGTCACCACTATAAAGGAGAGTGGGCACAGGTTCCCTCATTAGTCTGCCCTGGATCCACCCCCCAGCAGTCATAGGCCCTACATGGTGTGAGGAAAGAGGAACAAGTTCAGAAGGAAACAACAGCAGTGTGGCTCAGACCCCAGGAACAAAGCAGGAGTATCAGTTCCAGATTTGGCCCCCATCTGAAGTCTGCAGAAAAATAACCAGGACAAGAATCCCTAACCAAAGAGAAGCCTAAAAGTTCTGTCACTCTGAATCAGCAGAGCTTCCCTGCTTCCTGGATGACAGATGCTAAGTCCACCTGCAGTCCACTGTTGCTCAGACTGAAACCCAGGTCAGGAGCTTGCAGAGGTCAGACTAGAGGGAGCAGCAATCAGATTCTGCCCTGGATTAGCCCACTAAGGATATACAGAAATATTTATAGTTCTTTTTGAGGTGGCAAAGTATGGGAATCTGAGGGGGGTGCCAATAAACTGGGGAATGGCTGAACAAATTATGATATGTAAATGTGACGGAATACTATTGTGTTGTAAGAAATGGTGAAGGGGATGGGTTCAGAGAAACCTGGGAAGACTTATATGAACTGATAGAGATTAAAGTGAACAGAAATAGGAGAACAATTTATACAAAGATATCCCTCTGGTGATATCTTTGAACACAATTTTGAAAGAATCATGAATCCATTTCAGAGGACTAATAACAAAATATGCTATCACCTCCAGTGAGAGAGGTGAAAGACTCAGACTGCAGAATGAGACATATATTTTTTGGACATGGCCAATGTAGAAATTTGTTTTGCTTGACAATATATGTTCATAACAAAAATTTTGTTTTTCCTTTCATGACAATGGTGGAAGGGGGGAGCTGGGTTAGAAGGGGAGAGAGCAAAGGTGCATATTTGCTAATTGAAGACCATGTGTCCTTTAGTATTGGGTACTGTGGAGCATGCTGACAGGAAGCTCTTTTGTATGTGACAACTGTGGTACTAGACCACAGACCAAAGACAATCAAAATTCCATCTAGTCAACAAGTGATTTACAAAGTTGGCTACTACAGGGTTAGTGAAAGACACTCTTTTTCAACTTCTCACCTCGAAAGTGATTCCCTCTTGGCCACACTAGGTGGGTAGGCCTAGTTAACTAGTCATTGCCCTAGTCTATAAAGGGTCAGAAGGTTTTCACTAAAAGTTGTTTTTGTCATACCTGCCAGCATGTTATTCACTATGTTGTGTGTCTTCCATAACCAGAGAACTGCTTCATCCAGAGTTTTCACTGAGTCCATGGATTCTTTAGCCATTTCTTCAAAATGCTGAGCACATTCTCTACATCCAAAAAATGTCTCAAGGTACCGTCTCATAATCTGCAAAACCACTTGGGGATTATCTTCAAAACCTGCAAGCACAACAATGGCTTGACTACCTGCAGTATATATATGGCATCCTAGATAAATACTTGTTGGCTGGCTCATCCAAAAGGGCTAGTCATGTAGAAAAAGACAAACATTTTCAGTAAAACCAATACACTTTGCATAGCATGTCAAAGCCAAACACCCATTTTATTTTGTAGTATATATGTGATATGTGACTGATAAAACCTGTATATCAGTAAATAAACATGTGCTTTTAAAATCTACTACACATTTTTATAGAAATGTGAAAATAGATTTTTCTGAGAGTCTAATGCCCTCTGGAAGGCCCCTTCACGCTTTTAGATACTAGAATACTATTCAGTGTACTGCACACAAAGGGGTAACTAGGGAGAAGTACCCCAGGATTTAAATATCATTGTTTGGCTTGGTCATTTTAAATTATACTTATTCATTTTAAAATTAGAATTATGGTTTCATTTGTTCATAATGCCCATGTTTTAGTACTACATCAGTTACACTGTTCATCAAATATTCAACTTGGTATATGCATGTCATTCACCTCATAGCTTATAAGGTTTCTCTGGAGAAATCTTAACTAAACATGAATGACTGTTAGGTCTTCCTGATTCATGGTTTTCCCTTTAAAATTATTTTAAAATATAACATGAATGGGTTTAGAATAGCACACAAAGTCTTCAAAAACTATTTTAGTTTTATGGTCACTCTTCTTTTGATTGTTATTTATTATATGAGTGATAAAAAAAGACTTGATTTAAGTTTCTTTAGCTACCCACATATCTTCTTGGGGGAGAACACTTTTGTGCTATTGATTTTCAAGCCAGTAAAAGGCCTGAAACTATTATACATCTTTGAATCAGAAAAAATTCCAACAACTTCAAATCATAAAAACAAAAAGTATTCTGCCAAAGGCTATATAAAAAAACAAAAACAAAAAACCAAGGGTATGCACTGATAGGTGACTTTTTGCATAATTAAGCACAAAACCAGGCCTCCATATCATTTTTTGGGTACTACTAACTTCAGTTGTAGTTCCCCTTTATACATTGTCTTCCTCTAATTAAAATCTAAGCTCTTTGAGGGCAAGAACTGTCTTGTTTGCTTGTATTTATATTCCCAGTACTTAGCACAATGCTAGGCATATAAGAAGTACTTAATAAATGTCCTCTCCATCTTTTTCTCCCTCTCTCTAATGTAACAACCAAAAAGAAATGGAGTCAAGTTCTAAAGAAGAAACTCCAGAGCAAAAGGAAGTAATTAACATTATACTGGAGACAAAAACATATAAAAAACAAAAGAGAATCAATACTATACTATACTGAACACAGAAATCTCCATTCAAACATCCAATATCAGAGATAGAACAAAAACACACAAAGAAAGGACCCATGAGACTAAAGCAGATTAAGTGTCATTATTAAAAGAAATACTACACAACAATTTCAAAATAATTTTCTTAATCCAAGTCATGAATTTGAAGCCAAATGCACTACACTAGTAAGAAACATTTTTAAGGGTTATGTATATATGATGTTTATTTGGGGAGGGTAGAGAAGAATTCTTAAAGTTTACAAATAATTTTACTACTTCTAGAATGATGATAGTTAACCTAACAGAGAGTAAGGCTCCTGGTTTAAAGATGCTTGTTACTAATGTTCATAATTCTTACCTTATTTAATTTAAAATGTGCTGGAGGGGATGAGGAGAGAGAAATAAAGAGAATGTGATAGACTTTGAGAAGTTCTTTTAAATTTAATGATTGAAATGATAACATTAAGTCACAAAATTTTTCACTTTTGTATATATTCTATATATTATATTTTGACTTTTGTATATATATATATACACATTTAATAGTATTTTATTTTTTTAATTACATGCAAAGACAATTTTTGACTTTTATTTTAAAAAAATTTCAAGTTCTAAATTATTTCTCTTCTTCCCTCACCACCCCCTTCCTAAAATGATTAGCAATTTGAAACAGGTTATATGTTTGCAATCATGTGAAACAGACTTCCGTATCAGTCATGTTCACACACATATTTTAAAAGGTATTACAGGAAGAAAATTTTAAAAGCATTCAATCACAAGTTTCCATTTTAATATGAAACTGCTCCAACCAAGAAAAATATTCTTGGTGTGTGTTTTTTTTTCTTCTATAAACATAAAATGGCTCATTTTTTTTTTCTTTTTCAGGCTGAGAGCTGGATCTTCTACTAACATCTGCCATGTATCACTGTGTAATCTCTCTTTTCTCTTTCCCACAAACTAGTGCAAATTTAGGGTAACTCTAATCTTTAAAATGGACAAGAACCATAAAACCCTACCTGTGGTGGAGAGGATTAGAGAATGAATGCATCATGCTTTTTAGCAGATAGGATTTAAACATGCAATAAGGAGAGGAAAAACCTTCCAAGACATAATCCGGCTGTCTCAGACTGACCCAATTCTTTAGGTATAAGATACACTCATCACATATCTGCTCTAATTTTTTACTAAATTAACGTATACCAAGGATCCTTTACTTCAAAATTTTCTCCTTCTTCAATTCTAGAGGACTTGAGCAATTTTTGTAGTGATACAACATCAAATGAAAATAAGACACCAAATGGTTTTAGTTTATAAATTTTTTTTAATGGCCTAAGGAAGGAAATAAGCCTGAATTAAGTGCATACTATGTGCCTGGTACTGTGCTAAGTGATTTATAAACATTATTTCATTTGATCTTTAAAACAACCCTGGAAGGTCAGTGCTTTTAGTACCCTCACTTTTACAGATGAAGAAAACTGAGGCAGACAGAAGTTAAGTGACTTGCCCAGATCACACAGCTATAAGTGTCTGAGGCCAGATTTAAATTCAGGTCTTCCTGCCTTCAGGTCCAGTGCTCTTTCCACTATGGTTAAAAGGCTAATTAAAAAAAAAAAGGTGGCTTATACTGTCAGTGTAGTATCTTTCCATTTGACTCATGCTACCATAAACATCTAAACTGTCCTCCAGCCCCTGTTCTCGGTTCTCTTATCTCATACTACTTATTCTCTCTCTCTCACTCACTCACTCACTCTCTCTCTCTCTCTCTCTCTCTCTCTCTCTCTCTCTCCACACACACACACACACACACACACACACACACACACACACACACCCTCCTCTACAAAACCTCTGGTGCCTACTCAGTTGAAAGTTATTTTTCACTGGTAATTTTCTTTTCTGTTTCTGCATGAGAAATTTGTTTTACTAGCTGAATTTCTTTTATGATTAGGCATATTTTTAACCAGGACAGCATAAACGCATATGCTTTGTAGGAACTTTAGATCCAAAGTGTTGACATGGAAATGGCCTTTTCATGGAGAGAACTTATTGTAAAACAAGCATGTGGCTTTGACTGAAACTGAACTCCACTGCGGTTCTAGGAATACTCAGAGGTCCCTTGCTAGCTTAAACTTTTTGTGGCATTTTGACTCTTCTTTGCACATATCACATTCATGCCTGTATCTGAGTGATTTGTATACATTTTCCCAACAACGATGCAATCAAAGCACCACAGCTAAAGACAGTCAAGTCCAATCTCCTTATTTAAAAAATGAAAAAACAGAGGGACACCTAGGGGAGGGAAATGATAACTCAAGTTCACTCTGGTAAGTATTTCTAAGTGTATAACTTTGAGCCATTCTTCTGCTATTCCCCTTCTGCTATAATTGCTTCATGTCTAAATAATTTATTTTTTTCATATGAAAGATTTCCTTAACTTAAAAATTAGATTTCTGCAGTTTAGCTTCATGTTCCAGAATAAGACTTGGTCTGACTTTCTTAAATTGAGACTTGTGATCTCTTGAATTTCTAGTCCCACACACCCAGACTTACTTTGAATAAGATTTGTATTTAATTATCTGTGCACATGCTGCTTCACCCCAACAGAATGTTAAGCTCCTTGAGGAAAGGGACTTTTATTTTGTCTTTATATTCTCAGTATCTAGCTCTGACATTCAATAAAAATTTCTTAATTGCCTACTCTGTGCCAGGCACCATGCTAAGCTAAGCACTGGGAATAGGAAGAAAGGTGAGAGACAGTCCTTATTTTCTTTTTCTTTTTTTTTTAATTTGGCTTTTTGGTGAGGTGATCAGGGTTAAGTGACTTGCCTAAGGTCACACAGCTAGTGAATGTTATGTGTCGGGGCTGGATTTGAACTCAGGTCCTCCTGACTCCAAGGCCAGAGCTCTATTCACTGCGCCACCTAGCTGCCCCCTGACAGTCCTTATTTTCAAACAGCTCACAATCTAATGGGGGAGACAACATGTAAACAATTATGTACAAACTGTTGTATTCAGGATAAATTGAAATTAATCAATAGAGGGAAGGATCAGGAAAGGCTTCCTGTAAAAGGGGTGATTTTCGTTGGGATTTAAGTAAGGAGATGGAGAGGCCTATGCAAGGAATATCAATATGTTGAATGAATGATACTTTCAGTTTCTGTTTGGGAGGAGGTATGAACTTCACCTGGAAGACTCAACTCTTTCTTCTGCACAGTTCTTGAATCAAGTCTTAGCAAAACCTCTGCTGCTATGTGAGGCAGAATGTTAAGATCAATGGCCCTGGTCCTAGAGAGCTATGTCCAGGAAAGGAACTGTTCCTTTAGTCTGTCAGGAATGACTATAAACTGAGAAGCTGACAAAAATCTCAAATCCATGAAATCCAGAACTTTCTTCAATGAATTGCTCAACACAAAATGAATCTGCAGCAATTTGTTAGTCATTTATTATTTGCCAGGCATCATGCTAGAAACTGGGGATGAAAGACAAAAGTAAAATTATATGCCCTCGAGGAGCTTATGTTCTATTGGGGAAGGCAATTACAAGGTGACAGGAGGATGGAGGCACCAGCAGCTAACAGGATCAAGAAAGACTTCTTGTGGAAGGTAATGCTTGAACTGAGTCTTGAAAGACATTAGGAATTAAAGGGGTAGAGATGAGGAGGGAATACATTCCAGGTATTTAGGACAGTCAGTGCAAAAGCATGTGGATGGGAAAAGGAGTGCTGTGTCTAAGGAACAGTAAGCCAGCTACTTTGACTGGAATGTAGACTAGATGAAGGGGAGTGATATGCAGTAAGGCTAGAAAATCAACTTTAAAAGAGGTTTTAAATGCATGTTTACACTTCATCCTAGATTTCAGTGGAACTACTAGTGTATTGAGTAGGGTAGTATCATGGCCAGACTTGAACTTTTGGAAAATCATTTTGGCAGCTGTGTGGAGGATGGACTAGACCAAGACTTGAGGGAGACCAATCAGGAGATATGAAACAGTGTAAGTTACTTTCCTTCCCTGGGCCTCAGTTTCCTCAGCTATAAAATGGGAATAATAATGCCTCTACTGCTTATCTCATAAAGTTACTTAAAGTTCAACTGAAATAATGCACATGAAGTGCTTTGCAAACTATATAGGGCCACAAAAATGCCAGCTGTTACTGTTACGTAAGCTGGCTCTTTCCTAAAAATATCATTGTTCAAACTGGCTTTGCAACTTTGTATTCTTCTTAGTTTTAGTGACCCTTCAGAATACAATGTCACTCAAAAAGAGGCACAGACAAGCTGTGCCAAGTCTGTCAATCTTTGTAACTTCCTTCTCCCAGGCCTGTCAAGTTCATGCTGGCACTGGATGGAAGCAGAAATTTAATTTGTTCCAGAACTCCTAAGTCCTGAATTTTAATTTTGCCAGAAGAAGTTACAAATTACTATTATCCACCCAAGTTAAGCTGGGAACAAAAGAATTGTGCCTAATTTTCTGATGCCCTGATAGTCAAATGAATACAGGTCCATGTTCCCTAAGTTATGGTTATAGTCAACAATCATTTAATTTGTAAATGTCACATACCTGTGTTGGCCAGAGCTCTTGGACGAACTACAGCCTGGACAGTTAAAGTGTGGAAAAGTTTCCAAAGAGAACAAGTGTAACCCCTTAACTCTGGTCTGCTTCCTTGGCATCCAACCCACTTAACATGATTAGGTAGAAATATTCCAGAAATCTGAAAGAGAATTTATAATGTTTGTTTTGTTTTTAAATCAAACTGAAACTAATCTGAATTTAGTCACATCACTGATGGTCTCCAAAATACACAGAAATGATTTGCTCTCTATCAATAGGCCTTAAGATGTGTTACATATACCCATGTTATCTCACTAAAGTAGCAAAGTTATTTCTGAAAGATATTACTACTGCTTCAATAGATTATAATTATTCTTAGATTTCATGTAACATAGAGGAAAAATAAAAATACAAAGCATAGCCATAATAAAACCTTCAGACAGAGGTACTAAATTATGTCAAACTTTTTAAAAAGCAGGCTGATGAGTAAACATTATAACAGCCCAATAATAAAATTATAATAATTGAGAAGCCATGGCTATGAAAAGAGAATTGTTAAATGTCCTTTCCTTCTATTAAGAATATTAACTACTGCTGATATATGATTTCAAGGGAAGTTTGACTATTTCATCAATTAAAGTTTGGTCTAATTATTTCACTATCATTCATTTCCTACTTTTATATATGTTTTATTAAATGGTACGTATATTTATATATATATAAAACCTCATAATATACTGCATTATAGTTCTGTTGAACATTTCAAATTAGTATAATGGCAAACACTGCTCAGAACTTAAACCTATAAGATACTTTGCAGGCACATTAAGGCAGAAAATAGATTTTCATTTTTAATTCTAAACACTGATTAATGAAACAGACAAAATTTACTGGGTAAAATAACTGGGCAAAGCACCTTATTAATAAGAGCTACTGGAAGAAAATGCTAATTGAGGAAACTGATACACACTATGTGGACATTTTGGCAAATATAGTATTTGTTTAATTCAAGTTATTAAAATATTTGGTTGTCAATAAAAAAATCATTTATCTAGAAGAGTAAGAATAAATGATGAAAAATTCTACATGAATACCAACTAAATAAGGAAACTCTTAAGCCTCAATGAATATTCAATTCTAAATGCAATGTTCTGGTTCCTCTGAAACTATACTAGCTACTTAAATTATATCCTGCACTAGTGGGGAGGTTTTAAGTAACTTTGTTGTTATTGCTTTTAAATGGACTTAGCATTGTGGTCAAATACAGATTTTTAAATTTACTTATTTATTAAATGAAATTAATTTTCCACTTATATTAAGACATGAAATTGAGATATATCTACTGAAAAGATATTTGCTGGTTTTCAGAAGACCTGAGTTTTAATCCCCACTCTGTGTACTCTCTATCTGTGTGATTTTGGACAAATCATTTTCTTTCTTAAGCCTGCATTTCCTTATCTATAAAATAAGGAGGCTGGCCTACATGGCCTCTCAGGTCCCTTAAACTCATTGAATCCTATGACCCAAAGGGTTCTATTACCTTTGTTTTTAATGAACTGTCCTGATGTTGATAATGATGTTAAGATACTGACAATATCAAACCAGCTAGTTGGGGGAAAAGATACAAAATCATCCTGGGAATATGAACAACAAACTATGGGCCTTATCCCCCAAGGACAAAGAAATAAATGGTTCATCTGGCCAGGGCAGGCGGGTGGAGGGGAAGGAGGAGAAAAGGAATATGCAATTAAACCTGTTACCATCAGTATATTTGGGACACTGAAATAGTGACTTTATTGATCTTCCATTAAGGCCAAAGCTTAGTATATTCAAAACATTTTTCTTCTTCTTGTAGAATTTAAGCCAGGTTTTAATGAATTCTAACCAGACCCCTGAGTTGTGCTACAGATGCCAGACCTGAAGTAAGGTTCAAAGCCATAAGGGCAATGCTCTTATGTCCCTGACTATAATGCATCTCCTTTTAGTTTAGAATATGAAGTTACAAGTTACCCGCATTTTGTTATTGACCAGGTCCAGGATTGCATTGTAAGGGATTTTGTCCAGAGGAAGGCTGACCAACCATTCCTGTAAAGTTTCCAACAACTTCACCACAGGTTGGCGGCCAGGAAATAGCTGAAAAAGATGAATGCCCGTAACCACACCATTAACTCAGAAAAAAACTCCAGTGTCACACTCATGCAAAGGGAAGTTTTGATCAGTATTTTTCAATTGATTCTAATTGTTTGGGTTTCTGAACTCTAGGTCTGTGAACAAATGAAAGGAAGTATAAGCCTTGCTAAGCAAGGGAATAGCTTTAGGTCATTCTTACATGATGGTCTCTTCAAGTCAACAGTTTTATCGACAGAGAGGGAAAGGGAAATCTGAGCTATGATGGCATGGACCTGTCTATCTAGAACCTTTTCCCAGATTAAATTCACTGAGAAGTTATAGGGCACACCAATTTCCTTCCAGTTTCCAGTGGATACAAGATCACCCTTTCTTTTATATTTTAAACAGCTACCCAGCTCCGTTAAAATGGCTGTCTCATTTTCACTCTGGGATAGCTACTTTACAATGACAGATGAAATGATCCTTGAATATGGTTTATTTATCAAGTTGTCAAGTGCTTTGCAGGCCTATCTGAAATAACAGCCCACTTATTTATGTGATGTTCTTTGTGACAAAACAGCTGCTAATTCCTCCTCTTCTACTCAGGGACTCTAGGTGCTTTTTTGCTCTCGGCTCCTTTGCTATCACTATTTAAATTGTTGAGCAGCAGGTATGGATGGTATATCTGTGTTCCTCTATTTAGTTTCTTTTTCATGCTGTTCTGAGTGTTGGTCACCTAAATATCAAAGTAGCATTTTTATTCAAAAAAACTATTATGTCCCCCTAATAAGGATACTGTATGCCCCCTACTTAGGGATCTTTATCACATGACAGTCTTAGTACAAATGTAAAATAAAGGTGTCTGCAAGGACTATTAAAACTAACCTTATAATACTATATCAATAGTAATTGTGAAACAACAACAACAAAAAAACAGATCATCAACTTCTTATTTAATAACACTGGGGATTTTTAAAAATCAGGGTATGGAAATGTGTGTAAGCACTAATATCTATTTACTAGCAATTTTAAAAGTATCTACATTCTTGTAAGAAATTTTCCAAGTTAAACTACAATTTTCATTGTGAACTAAAGAGCCATCCAGACCACATATGTGAGACCAGCAAAACACATGTTTTAAAATTAAAGGGAAAAAGCAAGAATAATAGTGAGAGAAAAAAAGCACATTCAATGAGACAAGAACAGCCATGTTTTGCTAATAGCTATGCAACAAAATTGAATCATCTGGCCAGGATCCATCAGAAAGGACAAAGGCTATTTGGAGGATAATATGATGAACAGATTAGTGCTACACTTTCTTAAAGGAAATGAGGGCAGCTAGAGATTTTTTTTTTTTACTGAGTGGCACTATGAGGAAAAACCCTATTATGACTGATTTTCACATACTAGATATTTGAAATATATTGCATAAAGCTCATTATTGTTTGAAACATAATCCATTTGTTTTGTTTTTTTAAATTTATAACATAAAAATGAATTCTGATTTCTCAAAATGCCTTAATAAGGTAATGAAGAGTCTACTAGGCATATTATTTTTTTCCTGGCATCTATGTGGTTAAAAACACTCAGAGAATCACAACATTAAAAGAGATTTCAGATATCATCTAGTCCAATCTCCAACACCATGCAGGAATCCCCTTTATAACATCTCTGACAATGACAGGAAACAACTATCTCGCAAGACAACCCAGTCCATTTTTGGAGAGTTCTATAAACCGTTACAAAGTTAAAGAACAGTTAAAAACCATCTCTGTGTAACTTTTACCCAATTGGTCCTAGTTATGCCCTCTGGAGTTACAATGAGTAAATTTAATGCTTGGATGATGGCTGAACTAGAGGACTGAATCGTTTCTTTCAACTCTGGCATCCTATAGTTATAACACCTCTCAGATGGTAGCCCTTCAAATATCAGAAGACAACTATCATCTCCTGTCATTTCTAACTTCTTCAATATTTCCTCATGTGACATGATCTATATACCCTTTATTCTCCTAGTCACTCATCTCCTGATATGCTCCATCTTATCAATGGAATTCAGATGTGGCACCCAAAACTAAATAAAGTACTTCAGCTGTTTTCTGAATAATGCAGAAAACAGCGGAACTATTCTCTTACCTAAATCTCTTTGACAGGAATGGCTGTTGTCACATCTTCTTAACCTCCATTTCTTTATTGATTTTCTGAACTTAAATGAAAGACTTCACACTTATTTTGTTAATTTTCATCTCCTTAGTTTGACCCAACCTTCAGGATAGTCAAGATCTTTTTGCATCTCAGTGCTGTCATCACTTAAAGTATAAACTATGCCTCTTATGTAGTGTGCTGCTGTTTTTGCCTAGATAAACTTCCTTCAAATTATATTTTTATTAACCTTTCAGACAATAAATAAATGTCTAATGAATTTAGAACAAAGAATTGTTTTAGAAGTATCTCATTACTGATTAAAGGGAGGAAAAAGAAGGTATATGGGTTTGTAGTTTTAAAATGGAGGTAAAACAGAATGGGAGATGCACAGCAGCATGGGTTTATTAAAAAGTTAACATGAAGGGAATGTTAAAAATCTCTTTTTGAGTCACATTGTATTCTAAAGAGACACTACTACTAAATCTAATAAAAAGTCTCAAAGTTAACAATTCTATTATTATCAGGAAACAATCTTCCTTAAAGGGGATTCAGAAATCATCTATCACTCGTGTTTTATATACTGAAGATCAAGGTCTTAAAAGATAGCTCAGAGTTTTTATTGATTTGGGATGTCTTCTTCCCAATTTATAGTAATCCATCATAGCCAAAAAATAATTCCTTACTTGGGAACTGAGTTTCTAGAATCCAAATTCATGAATCTTAACACAGCTTACCTCTTATAGTGGTACCCCCACCCCTCTTTCCCGCCTTAGGGGATGAAATTCTTTATAAGACTTGCTTTAAGGATTATGCAGAAAAACCTCATAAGGTCTTTTAGGTAGGACTGTAGGGCTCTACTAAACAATTCGAAATTGTCATATTGGTAACTTTCGGTGACTCAAGATCACCAAGGAATGAATTCTTATCTATTGTGAGGGGGGAAAAAAAGGAAAGCAAAGTTTATATAAAATATCAAATTGTAGGATATCAATTGCTGGACTAGCTCCTATACATTTTATGCCAGGTACCCTAATAGAGGCTTTAAGGAAAGGATTTTTTTTTAAATTAGTTAATTCAGCAACTGGATAATTAGGTTTTATAAACAAGAAGCAGAAAGTTGCTAATAGTAACGGGGGAGCGGGGGAACCAAACTTCTCAGCTTGGCCCAGAAGCAGCAGCTTCCCACTTCTAGCTTAGCCCTTTATCTATGAACTGTCCAAAGTCGAGAAAGTCATAGTAGAGTGGAAACAACAAGGGGTTTGGTGGTAAGAAGAGGTGGGTTGGAAGCAGCTGGTGGTGTGACCTTGGACAAGTTATTTGACTTATGTGACTTTCAGTTTTCTCATTTGTAAAAATGCAAATAATACCTGCAATACCCACTTCTCTGGACTGTTATGAGGAAAACAGTTTCCAAATCTTAAAGCACTACATAATGTGAATTATTCTATTATGATTACACATTCAGTTAGTTTTCTTCCTTACTGACTCTAAGAATAGCTGAAAAACAGCTCTTGAAGCATTAAAATCAGCAATAAGTTTACCCTATGAAGAAAGTGCTAAGTAATTTTATTCTCTTTCCACTGAGGCCTTATTTAGGAAATGAAAAGAATGACATAGCAGGCAAAAACAAGAATAGGAGCTATACATTGTAATGCTGTTCTGTACAGACTCAAATTATTTACAGCCCCAACTGTAAACATTACAGTTCATAATAAGTAATGTCTTGTGAGTATCTGTGATACCCAATAGAAACACCTCTCCAAGCTACCTGTGCCTCAAGACTTCTTTAGAGAAACAGAGTCTCGAAATGCTTGGGTTTTAAATCTGAAATGATCACCTGAAATCTAATCCAATACATGCAGGCTTGTTGGCTTGTTAACACACAAAACATATACACACACACCTTTCCAGATAAAAATTATTTTCAAAAGAAAATGCAGGTTTGGACAGTTAAGAGAAGCACAAGTAAATCATTCAAGGTTCTTACGAAATATTCTCATCATCGAATATGCCAACATTTAATTCAACACAGATTAAATTCCCCATAAAAATGTAATCAAAGACTACACATGTATACGATACCTTTGCAATGACTGTAATAAAATTCCTGAAGGTCTTCAGCTCAGCTCCCTCCAGGGTCTTATGAGCAGCAAGCTCCACTCGAAGGAGATAATGCAACCCTGACTCAAGATCAGCCATATAAAGTTTTGACCTAAGATACACATCATAAACTCTGTTTAAAAAACTACATCGTCTTCAGGATGAATTTCTGCCCTCCCTCCTCCCAGTAGAGATATGGATGACCAAACTACTTTTGAAGAGAGTGTGTGTTGTGCGTGGTTCAGAGGTTTAACTACCAAACAAAATCTTTCCCAAAACATTATCAGCTTATGGTGTCCTTCCTATTAAAGTTCTTATCAAATTTAACTACCTAAATGGCCAACCATTCTACTAAGGGCCGAAATAAATACTTACTTATCAAATTCTCTCCAGACTATGACCTCTGAATTGTCATCTTTGTTTGGTTTCACTGTAAATGGAAACTGTGAGACCATTTTTTTCCTCACACCAGGTAATGACTTTAAATAGGAAGAGAAGAAAGAACGGAGGGGCTTCAAACTGCAAGAAAGTAGAGATCACAGGTGAGAACTCACAGGTATATGACTTGATGGAAATCAGGTATCTATGAACTTCAGAATGATATTTCTTACAACCACGACAAGTTAATTTATATTAAAATCCTGGCTAAGAAACCCTTTTCATTTAATTTAGGAATTTGTCTCTTAGATACCCTAGAGGAGCAGCCTAATGCAGTGGACTGAGTCCTAGACTAGGGACCTATGTTTAATCCCCAAGTTCAGATACTTACTAGCTACATAAGCATAAGCAAGTCATTGAACCACTCAAAAGCCTCAGTCTTCTCATCTGGAAAATGAAGATAATAATACCTGTAGTATTTATCTCACAGAGTTGTCATAAGGACAATTAAGATAATGTATAGAAAGCAATTTGAAAACTTCAAAGGTCTATATGAATGTCAGGTACTGTAAATCAACATAATCTGGTGTGTAAATTGGACAAGAAACCGAGTAATAGCTAAAGAAAACACTTAGCAAATCAGACTTTTAGCTAACAACTTTATTTAAGATACATCATAAGATAGTATTTTAATATGACAACTTCCCATCTTAAGATATCATATTCTAGTTAAAAAGGGCTATGGACTGGCAGTCTGAAGATGGTGGGGAGTCAGACACTGCCTGTGAACAAGGCCTCTAAACTTTCTGGCTTTCAATTTCCTTATCTCTAAGGGGCTAGATTTCCTAGGAGTGTTGCTCAGTGTTCTGAGTTCTTCTTAAGATTTCACAGAAATAAATGACCTTAAGTTACCAATAAAAACGGTCTATGCCTTCCTTCATCTCCAAGGAGAAAACAAAGCAATGTGAAGGAAAAAAATAATTAAAATATTAATATTATAATTAGGGATAAAGCTGCATAATGGTGTTGTTATTACTGGCCACTAAGAATTTGCTTACAAAGTAAACCTGTATTCTATTGGGTCTAGTCAGTTACCTTAGGCCTGAAAGTTGATCACTTCTTTTTCAGAGTCTGGTTATCCATTTCTGCTAGTTCAACATCTCATTCTAAGTTCTAACATCTTTGGTCAGGTTCTGGAAGCTCAGAATATACCAACCAAAATCACTGGAGATTTGGTTTATAAATCTGAATTCCAATTCATGTAACATATTTTCAGATAATCACCACTAGAGAGTTGGCTACTAGATGATATAATTTTTGGCCAAAGCAGCTCACTTAACTATCTGCTAAGACCAGAGAAAGGGAGGAGAAGTTATCTGCAGAGAAGAAAGAAGTGCCCACATGTACTGAAGGACTGAATGAGAGCAGGGAAGAGAGGAGTGGATCTGTGATTTCAATATGGAGGGAGCTCCAGGTGAGGTACTTTCTCTACCAATGTAGGTTAGTATTTTCTTAGAGAGTGACCTAGGGTACTCAAAAGTTAGGTGACTTGCTCAAGGTCACTCAGTGTATGTCAGAGGCAGGCCTAGGTCTTCCTCGTCCCAATGCCAGTTCTCTATCAACTACATCATAACAGGACAACAAATCTGGTTAGGAAATTGGTGTATATACTCCATAAAAGGCATAGTTCCTTTCTAGGAGGTGAATCTACCAAGGAACCAAATCAATTTATAGAAGGTTTCTTGGGAAAACAAGAACCTAAGGATATGCTATCAGATGACTGCAAAGGACTTGACTTCATCCAGTCTGGACTGAATCTGTTGACTTCTCCTTTAAACAAGAGCTAATGCCTCCACTGTTCTATTATTCACTATGTTTGTTCATCCAATTTCTTTCAACTTCGACTTACATGATTTGTATTCTAAATGACCTTATCTTGGGTATATCTGTGTATACAAATTATTTACAGATTCAAATTGGTTTCTATTAAGTTTGGCCAAAGAAGGTATCTCCTTTTGGATTTTTGTCTATTTGCCTCTCTCTTTCCTTTAGGACCAAATAGAAGCTCCATTTAATTTTTAAAGTCCTTCACAATCTGATCCCTTCCCAACCTTTTGATACAATGCATTATTCTCCTTCCCACACTCTATGGTCCAGCTAAATTGTCTTCTTGCTGTCTTCACATGTAACATGCCATCTCTGTATACCTCTTCATTAAATGAAATATACTCTCACCTCACTTCCACCTGGGAGGATCTCATTTCTTTTCTTTTTTCTTTTCAGGCAATTGGGGTTAAGTGACTTGCCCAGGGTCACACAGCTAGTAAGTGTCAAGTGTTTGGTCTGAGGCCAGATTCGAACTCAGGTCCTCCTGACTTGAGGGCTAGTGCTCTATCCCCTGCACCACCTAGCTGCCCCTCTCATTTCTTTCAAAACTCTGCTCAAGCTATACTTTCTACATGAAGCACTTCCTGGTCTTTCCAGTTACTAGTACTCTCTCCTTCAAAAAATTACCTTGTATTTATATTCTATGTGATTATTTATTTACCTGATGTTTTTTCCAATAGAATATAGGGCAAGGAGTGTGTCATTTTTGTCTCTGAATTTCCAGTGCTTAGGACAAAATAGACGTCTGATAAATGCTCAGTGAATAACTTGATTTCTACAGTTTCTAATATCCCCATGTATTTATTAAAGTCTCCAAGATAGAGTATTGGAACCTCAACCAAATCTTGTATATACTATTACTCACATGCTAATTAATCCATGAGACCCATTTGGATAAATCAGGTAACATGAAGGGACTGAAGTAATACCAAGCTTCTTGAGAAATGCCTTATCAGAATTCAGCGTTCTTTTTACCACAATGTTTTTGTACTGAATCAAGTCTAATATCACCTAGATGAAGAGAAAATAGAATGTGAAGGGCACTGCCCATGGCAAAGTTTTTCTCAGGGGAAAAAATAGCAAGGTAAAACAAATTTAGAATCAATATAATAACTATAATTTTGTAATAGTTAAGTCACATATATTTAGATATCAATTTATGGTAAAAAAACAGTTGTCATGAATTAATCTCTAGAACATATAAAATAATGTTTAGTGAAATTAAAATAACTCATGATTTGCTGCATTTACCACTTCTACAACTTAGTTCAAGATTTTTAACCTTTGTTTTCATGTAACTTAAGACACCGTGAACAAGAAATCTACTTACATGCAAAAAACGCAATATATCATTTATTAGACTTATAGACAAAAGGACAAAGTTTAGTAGCTGAAGATTTTTATTAGTTTGTTTTTAAAACCAGTCTACCCTCCAAAAAACATAGTTCATCCTAAAAAATACTCCAACCAGTGAAAGGTAGTTTTCTATCCTGGTTAACCATTAGCTAGTCACATAGGTAATCTCATTGTGCTTTATAAAAGCCTGAGATTTTCTTCTAAACACAGATGCTATTTGTGTCCTTATCCATTTAATGGATTACAATCTGTATCAATGGAGGAAATGCCACACCAATTAAATCATGGATCCACAAAAGCAACATCTACTAGAAAATAATGTGACTTGTGAAAAACTTCAAAACCACCTATTCCTCTCCTACAATATCAAGTGTTTTTGGCTACATATTCAGTCTTCTTTAGCCTAGCACCCAGTGACCACAGATCAAAGTTGGCAGGCATCTTACTTCAGGTGTGTCATTGAGAACATTCATAAGCAAAACAGAATAATGCCAAAATGGCAGGCCAATATATGTTTCCGCCATAATAATGATGTTATTTGTTTTCTTAATTCAGCTTAGAACTATGCAAACTTTTTAAAAAGCACAAAAAACTAGTAGTTTCCTTAGCTTGAGACAACTGCTTTTTAACTTTTTAATTGTAACATAAGACACCAAAATGAAAAGGAGCTATATTATCGGATTAAGCTAACTGAAGTTGGTCAAATATTTATTCAACAATTGATGATGAATATACTATTTAGAATACAAGATAAATACTACTAACAAATCCTTTGAGCTCCTATCACACACCTTCAAACAACATTGCTTCTCCTCTGCAGGCAGAATGAGGGCCAAATACTTTTAGATGTAAACACCGTAAGACTGTAAGGCAACAGTGGAAAGATATGCCTAGAAAACAACTTTTAAAGACTACAGAATTCTAATTAAAGCAATGACCAACTGTGATTTCAGAAGACAGATGATGAAATGTGCCACTCACCTCTGAACAGAGAGGTGATAGGCTAGAAGTAAGAACGAGATAAAGATTTTGAGATATAGTCAGTGTATTGATATTTGTTCTAACTATACTTTTTTTTTTAAACAAAGGATAGTTTCTGTTGGTGGGAGGGATGTGAATTAATGGATAGTAGTTGAGATGCAAAAAAAGAAAGAACACAATAAAACATTTAAAAATAGAAGAAAGCAAAAAAAGTTCAGAAGGAGACACAAATAAACAGCAAAGTGACATTACTATCATATTAAATGCACTATTCACTTAAAAAACAAACTGTACATAATACAGAGATGGGAGGAGTTAGTTATAAGATGCCTACAGACAAGTAGGGAGAATCCCCAACCTTTTTATAAGAAGCACCTTGGACCACCAGGAAGGATAACAGCAAAATCCTTGTGGGGAACAGGTTAGGGGACTGTCTCTGCAGACTGAACTCTCTTCTCCACTGGGAATACCAGCACACCTCACAGCAAGGTATAGTAGTGGTGGTAGCCAGTTTACAGGCAGCCAGGCAACACTTGGAGATCTATTTGTAGATCTTAATTGATCTATTCAGCACATCTAATGTAAAGTGTGTAGAAACATGGTCTGAATTATCTATAGATACAGAAGAAAGGTTTGGCATGACTATCTAAAATTCAAAGATAACGGAAATATGTTTAGCCCAAGTATAGAATTCTTTTCTACTATAGTTCACAAATACAACTGATACCTTATTTCACTTCATAATAAATTTTCAAGTGAAGAAATGATTTTTTAAAAGATGCCAATAAATTTCTTCTATAGAATATATAATACTTTAGTCAGAACAGCAAGACTCATTTTTACAAAATTCAGCCATTCAATAATTCTCCCTCCTAAGAGAGAAAAAATAAAATTTTCCTGTATTAACCTTTTAAACAAAATTTTAAAAAAAGTAGGGAAGGGCGATCAATTCCAGATAAAGGTCTATCTTAAGAGCTAAGCAACAACATGCTACCTCTTACACTATGTTAAAAGGTCTATTATAATTCTGCTCTAACTACAAAAGAAATCAAGAATGACTTTAGTAAAGATTTTAGCTACCAATTATATAATTCATACAGAGTATAATTTCTACCTTCTGTGAGAACAGAGCAGATCACAAGCTTGAAAACTACCCATTATCGTATGTGTAGCTCTTCACATAGAATCAAGACAGGAATTTCCCCCAACATACCAACATCAAAGAGATCACAAATCCACTGGAGCACAGGAACGAGGTATAGTAAGAGCCTGGATAAATGAAGTCCAGGAATAGATAAAATAACATTTTAAAATGAATAGTTTTAGTCCTTCCCCAACCAAGCCTCTTTTCAAAGAGCTGAGGAGTTAAGCTGATTTGCCAAAATCTTAAGCACTTCTCCCTCTCTTCCTCTGACCATCATGTGAGCAGTTGGGTGGCTCAGTGGATAAAGCACCAGGCCTGGAGTAAAGAAGACTTGAATTCAAATCTGGCTTCAGACACATCCTAGCTGTGTGACCCTGGGTAGGTCACTTAACCCTGTTTGCTTCTGTTTCCTCATCTGTAAAATGAGCTGGAGAAAATGGCAAACCACGCCAGTATCTTTGCCAAGAAAACCGCAAGTGGGGTCACAGAGAGACAGACATGACTAAACAACAACAATGACAATCATGTAGAAGAAAAACAAAGGAGCAGGACAATCCACAAACTGCAACATCTGCCCCTACAAAGTTTTTCTTGTCTTTGCTAAGAAGAAGATTCTCAGAAAACATTAGTCACTCATTCTTTCAACTGTGTTAAAAGTTTAATTTGGACTATGACAAAATAGTAAATTTCCACAGCCTCAAAAGTATAGCAGGACACCACAAAAATATCTCATTTTTTATAAAGAAAGTGGTTAAAAGTGCTTGAATATAAATAAGCTTTCTGAAATAGCCTTAATGACAATGAACCTAAAACAAGGAAAGACATCTCAGAAAGAATTCAAATGGTCAGAAAAGTCCTAAATTACCTTTGAACTTTAAACATGAAGTCCCTGGTCTTACATTAAAAACCTTTCTGGCTGGTTAAGCCTCAATTCAATTCAATTTAACAAAGACTAAATGCCTACTAACAGAAAGCTACTACGCTGAGAGATGGAGATACTGAGACTTAATGAAGACAAGGATTCTGAAGAGGAGGAAGAAGAAAGAATGTATTCAAGCCAGGGGAACCTCAGAGGTCACCATTATATGTTGATGTATACCACCTCCAAACTACCCTGTACTTATGCTTACATATACATGTATATATACATATATACATATGGTGTCTCTCCTTATCAGACATAAGCTCCTTAAGGGCAAGAACTATTTCATTTTTGTCTTTGTACCCCCAAAACTTAGCACAGTGACTAGCAAATAGTAGGCACTTAATAAATGCTTACTGATGCATTGATTAAGATAGAAGATGAAAAGTCAAGTTTGGAAAATAGCTAGTAATACAATTTAGCTAGAATGCAGGATATGAAGTAAAATAGGAACTAAGACTGAAAAGATACCAAAACTAATTATGAAACAGCCAACTACTTCTGCACATGATATGAATTCTGACTGAACACAATGGAAACCAAACTACATGGTTTGATTTTTTAAAAGGAGATGAAATGAAACAATTATACAAGTACCTCTCGTCCAACATATGAGTTATTGCTTTCAAACAAAATAGCAATGTAACGACCATCATTGTTTTCCAAGAGAGGAGAAATGTCACTGGACCTTTCAGGAAGAAAAATAAAATAATTTAATTTACAAAGGAGCTTAGCCACCTCACCACCATCTTCAAGTAGCCTCAAAGAATCTTTGAGTTAAAATGGAACTTAGCAGTCCTTTAATATAACCCCTAGTAGCCAAACCAACCCAATTTAAGTTGAAATAGAAGCCCGAAAGCTGGGTTTAGCAAACAAATCAAAATCTGAACAGAACAAACTTGAGTTTTAAACATGGATTTCTTATACCTTTTTTTCCCCCTGGAGACAAAAATGTCACTTTTCACAACCAATATGCTTACGTAACAGGGTCTAAAGATGGACAAGCAGGAGGTCTGTTTCCTTGGGTATGATTCTGGAGGAAATCAATCATCGTTTGCCTTACTGTCTGAGGCTCTCTATCAATTCCTGCTGAAAAAAATAAAAAAAAATTAAACCACTACTACTTTTCTAAATGGCAAACACCAAACACAAATGAAAAATACAAATCTTTATAAAATTCCTAACTCGTTCTCTAAAATAAACAATAAACAGTTCACAGTATTGACATATGCAAATCTACCTACAGGGGTTATATAATCTGAGTGCTCTAGCCCAGTGATGTTAAACAGGTGGCCTGCAACATTCCTGAGTAGGACCAGACCTAGATTAAAATGTAATTGGGAAATATAATAAATAAAAATAGAACACAGATGTTAACATGTGATTTTCTAAGTTGATATGTATGGTTGTATGTATGGTTTACAGCCCCTATCCTTACCCTTCCCCTTCTCTGTTTGAATTTAATATCACTGTTCTAGCCTAAGGACCATTTAAATATCAAAAGATTACAAGATAACACTAGTCTATTTCAAATATAATGATCATATTCATACCTTTGTAATTTTCTCCAGTTGTGAACTCCTTTGTAAATGCTTTAAAATACTGAGGAAAAAATATAACAAATAAGAAAAATTATATCATACATGTAATATATACAACCCCAAATGTGTACACCTTTACAACTACATCTCTTTGAACAATTTTCTCCAAAAATGGCTCCGTGAATTTCAGAATTTTTCCATTGGCATTACTGCATTCAAAATTATAGCATATGCCTTAAACTATAACATGGTTTAAAATGATATTCCTGTTCACATAAGCAACCAGATTTCTTAACTACCAAATGTTCAAAAATGTTCAGTCCAGTGAGAAATAAGCCTATGTAACATAATAGTTTAAAATATAAAAGTCAAAGTGGTTAAGAATAACTCACATTTATGTAATACTTTAAGGTTTAACAAAGTACTCTCCCCACAACAATCTTCTCAGGTGGGAAGCAGAAGTATCTTTACCCCTATTTGCAGATGAATAAACTAAGGCTCAATAAGGTTAAATGAATTACAAATTTTGTACCCTTAGTTATCCAAAATGGGACTTAATGCCAGACCTTCTGACCAAGTCTGGTTCCAACAATCTTTCCACTGTAGTATGATGCCTGTACATCCAGACAGATAAATGTTTTAAAGCCTATTTGGCTGCAACAATATCTTCATATTGTTGCCAGGTCTAGGGAGTCTCTAATTCCAGTTGTGCTAGAACCCATGGTGTGTTAGAGCTGCAAGAGGCCTAAGAGATAATTTAGTCTAATCTCCCTCAAAGAGGCTGTGACTTGTTAAGATATTATAGAAAGATAATGGATTTATTTTAGAGTTGAAAAAGTCCTTTTAATCAATGATTTTTGTCATAAAATCTGTTAAAAGCATTTTACATTTTGGAATATCTATGCACGTGGGTGTAGGTATAAAACTGACTCACCAAATAGAGATTTCTAACTTCAAAACAAAACAAAACAAAACCGGACTGCTGGTTGATTCTGTTCCTTTTGCTCAGGCTGAAATTGCCAGGGAGTCATAAAGCTGGAAATTTAAGCTGTGCCCTCTAGTGGGAGGAAAAAGCACAACTTCATCTTAACGTATCAAGAGATCAGCCACTGCAGTGTTAACTGTAGATTAGCCTCCTCTATATCCTTAGCAGAATTAGCTGGTATTCATAGGGCCATAATATGGTTTTTTGCCTCTGTTCTTTTTAAAATTATTTATTTATTTTTAGTTTTCGACATTCACTTCCACAGGATTGAGTTCCAAATTTTCTCCCCTTCTCTCCCCTCCCCCACCCCACAACAGGGTGCATTCTGATTACCCCTTCCCCCAATCTGCCCTCCCTTCTATTTTACCTAATTTTTAAAAAAAGCATTAAAAACAAACACCTTTCTTTGTACAGTCACCTACTATATATTCTACTAACATTTATTTCTGTATTCCAGACTGCCTTTCTTAAAAGTTTTAAAAATAAGGAAATAATCCAGCAAAAACATAGTACATTCTGGTGGGAGCTTAGGGTGGGGTGAAGCATTTGCAAAACATACATAAAGCCTTCTGACAAGTTCAAGAACTTGGCCAAAATGGTAAGAATAAACCGTGGGAATATAAATGTAATGAACTGCAACTTGGATGAAATTCCTTACAAAAAATGTTCTGATAGACAGCGAAATAGGAGAAATTACATGGAAAGATATATTAGTTCAAGCATAAAATACAAATAATAGGGTAGATAAGCAACTCACCCTAAAAGTTGGGTAAAAATGAATACCATAGTCCCTACAGGTGTCATAGTTTTCTTCTGCAGCACAATCCAAGACAGCGACTCTAATGGCAGAAGCCCAGTCTGAAAAAGGAGAGTGGGAATTATAAGGAAGCTCAAAGACAGCCTGAGTCTGAGGAAGAGCTCCTAACTGTGGCTGTCATGCAGAACTCTGTCCTGGGCTACCTTCTCTCTATATTCTCTTTCTTAGTGATCTCATTGGTTCAATGATCATCTCTACACAGATTACACCTATATTTCTATGAGATCCCTCATCTCTCTTGAGCTCCTGATCTCCATTCAGTCTTAAGTGCCTTCTGGACAGCTCAATCTAGGTGTCCCATAGGCATTTCAAAATCAGCACTCCAAAAGAACTCATTAGCTTTCCCCCAATCTACCCCTCTTTGGAACTACCCTATTTCCGATCAGGACACCATTATCCTTCCCGTGACCCAGGTTCTCAATCTTAGAGTTATCCTCCACTTTTTACTCTTTCCCTTCTACCCAACTCCAATGACTTTTAGAATCTTGATCTTTCCACCTCTACATCTTTCTCTTTCAACTCCCACAGCCACTGCCTTCCTTCAGGCCCCATCATCTCTCTCCTAGACTATTACAATAGCTTTCTAAGTGGTCTCCTTGCCTCTAGCATCTCTCCTCTCCAATGTATCCTCCACACAGTGGCCAAAGTGATACTCTTGAAGCACATGTCTGACATGTCTTTTACCCACGAAATTGCAGTGGCTCCCTATCACTTCATCACATAGAAAACAAACCCTGGTCTGTCATTTGAAGACCTTTACAATCTGGCTCCAAATTGTCTTCCAAAAATACTGTGCCCCCCAATACATCTTACATTCCTGATCCACCCAGCTGCTAGCACATCTCCCAAAATTACTTTGTATTTCCCTATTATATATTTTATTCACTTATATATGCACATGTTTAACCCCATGAAACGTTAGCTCCTTGAGAGCAGGCACTCTCTCATTTTTTTGTTTTGTATCTTCATTGTCTAGCATAGCACCTTGGAGATAACAGGTACTTAAATGCCTATTGATTGATCAAATGATTTTACTTGAAAGATGATGAGCAAAAAGGGCTGAAAAAGAGTTGGCTTCTTTGATACTCATCTTGGTCATTAGATTTCTATTTTGAGGAAACAAACACTGCTGCTTTTTGGTTCATCAGTTAAATACATTAATATAATTTTCTGTCAAATGAATAAGACGTATAAAAACCCCTAACAGAATAGATGCGTCTTCTATCATAGATGGTAATAAGCAAACTGAAATTTGCTGAATTTCCAGATCACTCAGCAGCTCACAATACTGCACAGTCTCCTAATTAAACTCACAAAGCCAATGATTTGATTGATGAAAAGTCTGTTAACAGAAACTGCTGTCAAAGACCATGTCTGATACAGCTAGAGATATACTAAACAAGTGTTTACAGATTGAGGGTCATGGTTTAGAAAGCCGGTCTTTTAAGAATGACTGCAAAATTCTCATTCAAATAAGTAAATACAAAACTTGGCAAATCAAGTAACAACTGGGCTATCAAATCAAATATATTTCTCGCATGTAACATTTTTCTCAGAATCTCCTTACTCTGATACTTAGGAAGAAAACATAAAAAGGACTGCTTTCCCTTTCTCTTTTTTAAGTAGACAGATTTTTTTCCCCCTTTAACTAGGAAACTAAAATTATGTGGTAATAGTCATCCATAGACTTTAACTGTGCTATTGGTTGAGTTTTCTTTGATGATCTCTAGATTCTTAAGCAAAATTACCTCTTTAGTTTGACTTTAAAGTACATGTCATTAAGGTCTTGATGGGAAGCTTTAGGTCTTTAAAACACGGAATAAAATTTAAGACCTGGTTTTGAATTTCAGGCTCAACTTAGAACTTTGTGGAAATGGACAAGTAACATCACTTCACTGTGCCCTAATTTTCTCACTTGTAAAATGGGGATAATGATACACTACTTACTTCATAGGATTGTTTTGAGAAAAGCACATCATAAACTTTAAGGCGCTCTAATAACAATTATAAACATCATCGTGATCACCATTATCATCATCATTATCTCACATGGCCAATTTTCTTCGAGCATTTTTGTGATATGTTCTCTAGTCCTGTTGCCTCAAACTACAGAAAGAAGCATGAAAATATGAGATGAAAAGCAAGAACGTGTTGAATTTAAAACAAATCACTAAAATTGTACACACTTGAAGGATCATGTATATCCAGCATTCAATGATATTTCCCACTTAATTCACCAACTTTGTTAAAATATGAATAGTTATTTTTGCTCATAAACATTAGATGAGTTAAGTACATATGCATAAAATTCAATGGAATAAAATGAAGGCATTATGTCTATGATCAATAAGTAAATACTGTACATACCAGATGTTAGTTGAACAAGGTAAGCTAATTCATTAAATCTGGCTTAAATGTTAAATGGATCAGAGGAGAAAAGAATATAACAATAACTACCCTGGATCACAGGTTACATCTTTCTGTATTCTCAAATTGCATAGAACTACAGAACAGCTAATACTCTCATCCAATTAATATAACAGATGGCAATAGAATGTTGAAAAAAAATTATTTTTAAGTAACCCCCTGCCAAGACTCTTTCAGACTACACTGTTTATGTGTAATAAGCACCAATTTATGTATAATGCTTTTTAGAATACTTTCTCATCTGTCATCTTAACTCTCTTTCCCCACTAAGCTCAGCCTACTCATCTTCATCCTATTGCAATGTCACTTCTTCTACAAAGTCTTCCTTTACTAACAAGAAGAAAGGTGTCCCATTATGCCTTAACATAGATCTCCCATGGCACTTTCTTCATTTACCACCCAAGAAACCATAGAATAATACAATATCAGAGAGGGAAGAACTTCCTTAATCATTTTCCAGTTTAAAGCCTCTCATTTTACAAACAGAGAAAGTGAGACCCTGTGTCTTGTGCTAGGTTCCAAGGACAGTGGCAAAGTCCTTTTCCTTTGCAATTATACAATTGTTTACATATGTAATGTTCAAGCCTGGTTCAGCTGATTGTTCATCCTTGTCTTATGTGTCCTCTACTAAATTTCTACTCCGATGTCTCATTATGGCAAGGAGGTTATCCAGGATTCTTTTTGTTTGTTTGTTTTTGTTTTTCTTGTTCTGTTTTGTTTTTTGGCTAGGCAATGGGGTTAAGTGACTTGCCCAGGGTCACACAGCTAGTATTATGTTGTCACAGGCCAGATTTGAACTCAGGTCCTCCTGACTCCAGGGCCAGTGCTCTATCCACTGCACCATCTAGCTGCCCCTTTACCTAGGATTCTTAAAGGATATGCCAGACAAAGTCAAGTTCAGCAGGTCCTATCAATTTAATTTAATTCAATGAATATTTGTGAAATTCCTGCCTAGAGCCAGGTACTATGCTAGGAACTGGGGGAAACAAAGACAAAAAAAAAAGAAAGAAAAAAGAAATTTTCTTGCCATGAAGAAACTTATATTCTACTATGAATAAACAAAATATGCATAGGTAGGTAAATAGGAAATAATACAAAAGACATTAAAAGTAATTTTGAGGAAAAATCAAAATAATCTGGGGGGCTTTGTAACAACGAAAAGAATGAAGAGTGGCCTCATATAGGAGGTGGCATTTCAAGTGAGCCCAGAAAGGAAACATTTTAGGAAATCCAGAAGGTTGTTGCAAGAACTGACACCATTCCAGACAAGGGGGCCAGACAATGCAAAGGTACAAAAGTGAGATGGATTGTCATGTACAGGAATTGGCAAATATGTCAGCAGTTTGGCTGGAAAGACAGGGTGAAGGAGGAGAAGTTATGTGACTCCATTCTGGAAAGAGAGGTTGAAGCCAAATTGTGAATGGATTTAAACTCCAGACAGAAGAGTCTGTATTTTACCCTTGAGGCAACTGGGAACCACTAAGCTTCTTGTGCAGGGAAGAGAAAGAGTTAAGACCTGTGATTTAGGAATGTCACTTGGGCAGCTGTGTGGAAGATAGATTAGAGAGGAGAGGCTAGAGGTAGAGAGACCAATTTGGAGACTACTATCAGTTCAAGAGAGAGGTAATAAAGTTCTGAACTATCATGGTAACCACGTAAATGGAAAGAAAGGGACACATGTATTTCAATGGAGATGAGTGGAAGAGTTGAGGATGACTCCAAGGTTGAAAAATCGGGTCCCCGGAAGAATGGTAGTACCCTTCATAGAAACAGGAATTTAAGAGAAGTAGATTTGGGAGGAAATAAATGAATCTTCTTATGGATACACCAAGTTTGAGATACATATGGGACATCTAAGTGGAGATGTGCAGTAGGCAGTCCTGGAACTCAGGAGAGATGAGGACTAGCTATACAGATCTGGAAGATGTCTAGACAGAGATGGGACTCATGAGAGTTGACGAAAGGAGAGACAGAGACAGATAGAAACGGATAGGAGGGGCTGGTCACTGTCAAAGGCTCTAAAGGTCAAGAAGGATGAAGACTGAGAACAGGTCACTGATTTTTAGCAATTATGATACAGTTGATGACTTTGGAGAGCAGTTTTAGTGTACTGGTGAGGTCAGAAGTCAGAATGTAAGGGGTTAAAAAGTGAATAGGAAGTAAGGATGTGGAGACAGCAAATACAGATAGCCTTTTCTAGGAGATTGGCTGCAAATAGGAGAAGATATATAGAATATCAGCTTGAACAGAAGTCAAGAGAGAAGGGGGGTTTATGTTAAAGAGACAAAAGATATAAAAATGAGCATACAATAGCTGAGATTAAGGTGGATGCAATTTTTTTCAGTATGAGGCTAAGTCCTCTGCTGAGAAGTAGAGACCAGTGCAGAGAGATTGAGAGATAAGAAAGTCTGAAAAAAACACTGTGGGAAGCACAACAGAAAGTCAACTAGGGAAGAGTAAAAAGACTGGCATGCAGCAGTGGGGATCTAATTAAGATAGCATAGCATAAATTTGCAGTGGACTCAGAAGCATAAAAGTTTGAGTTACATATGGGAAGAAGTTTGACCGCTTCTTCCATCAGTGTTTAGCCACACAAGAGAAGAGGAAAAGGTAA